TATAATGTATTGCTGGCATTTGTAGTCCTCTATAGCTGGTGGTATTCTGCATTGCTATATAATGTATTGCTGAGATTTGTAGTCCCTCTACGGCTTGGAGTCAGTGGCAGAACTACCAGGGTCACAGCTGCGACTGGGCCCTGACACTCTACTACTGTCCTAAAATCATAAGTCTGTATTGTTTAAAAAAAAATAAGGGATCAGTAATTGGTATTGGCGAGTACTTGAGGAAAAGTATCAGCACTTGGTACTCGGTCTTCAAAAAATAGTATTGATGCATCCCTGCTATCTGGCATAGTGAAACTTTTATTTTTAGTTGATTAAAGTAGAATTAAACTCTGAGTTTTTTTTGCATTTATCTACTGCCAGCATTTATCTACTGACTAGATCTATGCAAAAACATTTAAAAAAAGTTACCAAAAAAGGTAATTACCTGTGTCGCCGCCGCTCGCTCCCGTCCGAAGATCTGGAGCTTTTCAAGCGGCCGAGCAGGATGATGGGGTGGGCGCATGTGCAGTAGAGATCTTCATTGGGGAGAAGAGGAGAGACACAGTGGAGGTGAATGCACAAAGCCACGAGCTCTTCATTATATACATGTTCTCTTTCCTTGCGGCATCCCCTATGATCTCACATTGTTGATCAGCTGTTTGCTTGTGTCTGAGCTTCATGTTGACACTCACTGGATTCCATCTCACTAAAAGCCAAAACAGCAGAAGCAGCTTTGTGATGGCATTTACACATAGTCATAGTTTTCTAAAGCAGACTAGGACCAGAAAACAAGAAAATGTTCCATGTCAAAGATTTTCCTAGCAGAGGGGTGTTGCCTGTGGCATCAAAGCTTGTGTGTCTGTAGGCTCCAGTAATGGAAATCTGAAGCGCCACAATTCAGCTTTTTATTAAAGGCTAAGCCCATGTTTCATGTTAGAACCATAGTTAGGGCTTAACATGAAACATGGTCAGATCACAGACCCCCCCCCCACACCTGTATCGTAGGGTTCTTCTCCCTGCAGGCTGCTGCTGTTTGAATTTGGCGCAGCTGTGCATGGCTCTGCCCACACAGTGGCGTCATCTATTCACAGATCCTTTGACGGGACCTGTGAATGGAGAAACTACAAGTGCCATCACCTACCATGGCAGAGGGACTTGTAGTTGCAATGGCACACATGTGTGGTGATGTCAGCACACTTGTAGTCCAATGACACTTCCTCCAGCCCCTAATACTGAATATCCATACTGTGGTACAAACATGGACGGGAGGAACAGTCTGCAGGAGACAGAGCATTGCACCTGCAATCTGCTCTCATGGTTATACCAATGCTTTAATGGCTCCTTTGCAAAAAAATAATAAATGCACATGTTTTCTTTTATTAAGATGAGCTCAGCGGAGAGAGAACACGCACTGTTTGAATCAGGCAGAGCGCCCCCTAGGGCTGCACTTCTAACATTCAGATGTATTCTGGAATTTAGGAAGGACGGGGGTCCCTTCCCAGTAGTTCTTGCACAAGGGCCACTGGTATGTACTGGAAAAGAAGAACCTTTTTACTAGCCTAGCAATGGTTTGCAATGTGCTGGTGGTGGGGCTCCTATAATTCATAGGGGAAAGGGTTGTGGGAAATGTGTGGGCTGTAAAATGTGAAAAATCAACTTACGCACAGCAGCCCCCTCACCTTTCTTATCGGTCAGCGCGTTCAATCACTTCCAGTTTCTGCGCTGCCATTCCCCGGCTAGAGAGGCCGCAGAAGCTGATCAAGCATAATCTGTGTTTAATCAGCTCCGATGGGCTGCAAAGGTGACATCAGGAGTCTAACAGACTCCTAATGTCTCCTTAAAGGAGGACCTGTCATCGCTAAAGTGCTATTATATAGGGGACATGCACACACTAAACGCAAACATGCTTTGGCTAAGCCTACATATAAAATTGCCAATTGCATACGCCTATAGACAATTTGAGGTAACCTAGTTTTTCGCCATTTATCGGGCGCTCGTAATTTTTAAAACAGAACCCTGGGCAAATTAAATCTTAATCCTTGCAGTGGGGCTATCCCAGCATTGTGAGGGTTAAGTGCTCGTTTTGTCCAGGGAGCTAATATAACAAAGTTATACTCACCAGAACCATGATCGCAATTGGCTCCTACACCGCCCCCTCCTGCCTTTCTCCTCCTCATCCTCTCCAGCAATGTTATGCCCCTTTGTGCTCTCACATTCTATAAACTGTATAGAACGAGATGGCTCACAGAACCTCAGACCGCTGGAGAGAGGCTGAAGGGGAGAGAGGCTGAAGGGGAGAGAGGCTGAAGGGGAGAGAGGCTGAAGGGGAGAGAGGCTGAAGGGGAGAGAGGCAATCTGGGATCACGGTTCAGGTGAGTATATCTTATTTTATCATCCCTAGATAAAACGAGCACTTAACCTTTACAGTGCAGGGATAGCCCTACTGCAAGGGATAAGATTTGATTTGCCCAGAGTTCTGCTTTCAGTTTGGCATGATGGGTATCTATCTACTCAGCACAACCTCCTCTTTTATATTTTACCAACCAATGGGGTCTGAAGTTGTGTTTTTGTGCACTAAATGTACTTTTTACTGAAATTTTGTCTTTGATAAACAGTTGCGCTTTGATAAACAGTTGACATACAAATTTGCAACTGCTGCCGTTTCCTTCTGCATTATCTCTACTCTCAGGAATTATATCATTCGGGGGGAGGGGGGTTAAGTAATTCTAAGGGCAGCAAATACAAAAATGGCTCTGTCAGTGAATGGGTTAAAGGCACTTTAAAAAAATAAAAAAGGCCACGTTTTGAGAAAAGCCGTGTCAAATTTAAAATACAGCAGCAGCCTGTGGGGAGAAGAACCCTGCGATTCAAGTAAATGTGGAGGCAGGATGGGGTGCTGATGTGACCATGCATATGGTTGTAACATTGGCCAAAAGGTGAACTTAAGCCCTCGTTAACACCTGACCGTTTTGTAGTGCGTTCTACGCTCGACGAACGCTCTACAAAACGGTCAAAAATATAAATTGCATTGTAGTCAATGGCCTCGTTCCCACCTTGCCGTATTTCCACCCGTCCCTAACGCCCTACAAAACGGCCCACGCCTGAAAAGGTCCAGGTACTACTTTGGGCCGTTTTCCATTGGGATACGGCCAAGTAGCCTTCGGGGTCGCGCAACTTTTTTACCGCGACCGGACAGAAGCGCATATTACAATACGCCTAGGTGTGAATGGGGCCTAAAGCAGAATTTCGGGCAAAACTTTTATTAACCCTTGCAGTGGAGTTAACTGCTCGTTTCGGTCTAGGGAGGACATTTAAAAAAATGACACTTACCTGATCCTCAGAGCCGGCTGGCTGTCACAGCGCTCTGCTGCAGTGATGGCATCCTCACACACATTGTATAGAACTTGATGATTTACGGGACCTTAGACTGCTGCAGTGGAGGAGGATTGAGGCGGAAGGACTGGTCTAACAGCAAGCTGGCTCCGAGGATTGGGCGATCTCTTCCCTAGACACAAACGAGTAGTTAGCCCTGGTATTGCGGCGGTAACCCCACTGCAAGGATTAATAAAGGTTTTGCCTGGAGTTCTGCTTTAAGTACAGACATATTCTTAAAGCTCAACCCGGGGGGGAACCCTGGTGTCCTCATTTACAATGCAGACTATTGGCTCTTGCCTTGTAATTGATGATGTCAGAGCGCCTGTCACTGAGGGACCCAGTCACATAATGTGGAGTGAGGGATAAGGTAAGTAAGCTTGGAGTGGAACATAATGTGATAATACAGCAACAGGCAGAAGATGTTCATGTGCTGGGCAGGCCGACAACACTTTGCATCGTCACATTAGCCTGCAGTCCTGATACAGGAGCGATCACACAAGGGTGACAACCCAACTGCTGCATTGCAACCAGAGTAGTAAGTGTTGTCAGCTTACGAAAAGAAGTGTCCTTCACTGGTCTGATGAACTTTTTACCCTACAATGCTAAAAAAAAAAAAGACAGAAAGGATACAGACACAGGAAAAGGAAATGATCCCTTACCTTGCTCCAGATCATGCTGATCATACCAGGGCTCATCCTCCTCACTATGGAACTCTTCCATTCTTCCTGCTCCCAACATCTGGCCTGCCCGACCACCAAAACTCCGTCTGGACACGCTGCTACAGAGGTCGGTGCCACAAACTGGGATTTGTGGAGTGCAAAACTGGCGATGAAAGCTTCAGAGGGGCAAATTGTAACACAGGCCTTCCTGTTCGCTCATGGGCACCTAGCGCCTTCACAAGTCAGGGTATAACAAGCCACGACCTACTGCACTGGCACTGAATATCCAGTATATCATTGGATGGGTCGCCCCAACAGGATTTATTACTGATGCCCCCCAATGCCCCATTACACACAACTCTCCATTTAAATAGCAATAGCAGAGTGATCAGAGCAGTAATATTGGCCCCTGTGTGTGATATTCCCCTCTACTGATGCAGCAGTGAGCTGTGTGATCTCATTGATCGCTCCTGCTATTGTGGCACAATGATGACATGCAGGCACAGCTCTTCACTTTCCGGCAGGATCAGATCCCCCCCTGTGCTGTGTGTCCGGGCCACCTCAGCCTCACCTATACATGAGTAGAGCTCTACCCGGTACACGCAGCGACCATCGCGGCCTCTGCACGCCCCCCGGTCCTGCGGTACGCTGTCCTGTATCCCCGGAGCATCCCCAGGCCTGGACCGGCTGAGCCCCGCCCACAGATCCAAGCTCTTCGTTGATTGGCCCGCGCCTTCACCTCCTTCATCGCATCATCCTGGCCCGGCATCTTTAACCCTGTCGTGACCGCGGCACAGATTTGAGCGTGCAGCCTTATTTCACCACCGCCTCCACTAGACCGTCCTCTGTACCAGGACCCAGAGCCCTCCCGCTCATCTTTTCACAACGAAGTCTCCGTCCACACCGAGCCTCTGTAAGGTTACTGGGCGGGACCTATTTACCTCTGGGCGGGCTCATTCACCTAGGGGCGGAGCCCGGAGAGGTTACACGGATTCCTCAGTCTCGGACACCGAAAACATACGCCAGCCGTGTGGGCGCGTCTGCTGATGTCATGAGGGGCGTGGTCACCGTCGTTGATTGACAAATCCGGTTTGCCAGCTGGTGCAGGCGGATTCGATAGGGGATCGGACCGGGCCCGTCAACGGGACAGCTCGCGGCGGCACCGGGATGGGGAACTCTGACACCAAGCTGAATTTTAGGAAAGCAGTGATCCAGCTGACGACCAAAACACAGGTACGGGGGGAGGGGCCCAACCCAAATCCACACCTTCCTCCATAGAGGAGAACAGGTGTTCATGTCTGCAGTATAGCCTAACCTGGCACTGTCCTATATACAGACAGGTAGAGTCTTTCCTGGATACTGCATGGGGGAGCATGCTTCCATCATCCAATATACAGATCAAAACTGGACATCACATCATGGATTTACTTTATAAACAACACCAAGTGGATCTCTATATAGTTTCATTTTATATATGTTTTTTTTTTTTAAATGCATTTACTTATATATATATGTATGTGTGTGTGTGTGTGTGTGTATATATATATTGAGTGCGCCAACTGTTTGTATGACAGCCAGCAGAAGTTTGTTAAAGGTCAGAGGATATTTCCAATGTGTTTTGGGGGCGGCACAACTTCCCCCATCATCAAAGCTCAGAAATAAAATAACATTAAAAAAAAATATGTCAGAACATACAACCTACTGAAAATGTTTAGGGGGGAATTTATCAAAACTGCATCAGACAGAATCTGGAGTAACCAGCTTCTCTCTTCCATTTATAAATCTTACCTACTTGTCTGTCTGCTCTCCTCTAATAATTTTCAGTAGGTTGTGTGTTCCACCAATCAGCTTCTACCTTCAGTTTGCTTATTTAGGATTTATAAATGGAAGAGAGAAGCTGATTGGTTACTATGGACACTTGCTACAGATTCTGTCCCAGTTTTGAGGAATCCCCCCCCCCCCCCCCCCACTGACAAACA